AAAAAAAAAAAAAAAGAAAAAAAAAAAGATATATTTGTCTGGGTCATGCATTTGATTGTGTTGCGGCACTGTTGCCTTTGTCCAACGGCAGATGAACTCTCTTAATGCATTGCTGCGCGTCTGCCAGTGGATTGGGACGGACTCAGAGGTGATGCTGTCAGCATACAAACCCCGACTTGTAAGGGATCAAGTTGGGGGAAGGTCATTGGTCGATCTCGGCTGTACGCCTATTCTCCACATGCGACACTTCCAGGTGTGTGCCATGCTCATCATTCCCTGTTCTAGTGCTATTGATCCTTCTCCGAAGCTCCTCTCCTCTCTCTCTCTCTCCTGTCTCTTATACACATCTAGATGTGTATAAGAGACAGGCCTAACATAGTTTTTTTTCGGATTTTTTGGATTTTTTTTTTTTTTTTTTTTGCTGGGACCTTCCCTGGTCCTTGCACGGGCTGGCCACCCGGGACCCGGGCGGGCCGGCTGGTAGCCTAGCTGTTATGTTATGTAATAAATTATTAAAATACTGTATCCACCCACCCACAGAGAACACTCAAGTGCAGAGCCCACAGCGTCGACTACACCAAACGCTCGTCGTTTCACGTCCCCACCCACAGAGAGAACACTCAAGCACTCAAATATGATCCACATTGAATCTACAGATTCTACACAAGTTGAAGCAAATGCCATGTTATTGAGAGTGTCCACAGACTACACCAAATGCCCGTCGTTCCACGTCCCCACCTCCACTTGTGCTCACATATCGCGAAAGAATTATTACTATGGCATAATGGCACAAGAAAGAGATAATTCAGCTGGTGTGTGTGGACGTGGCACTTGATGATGTTGTTGCAGTCGTGCTGACGTGGCGGCTAATCCAGGGAAGTCGAGATCGTGAGTGACTAGCTGCAGAGATACCACGGTCTGGAATTTTAATTATTTTTTTCAAAGGTTACGATTTACAATATATAAATTCTGTAAACCGTCATCGCGCTTCCACGCTTGATTGAGCTTGCACAGAAAAAGAGTTGACGACACTGTGAGAAATTTGGTCATTTGACTCATTTGTGCAGAGCAGATGTATTTAACACTCACCAAGAGGAGGACCGTGCATGATTTTTCTAACTTCGAAAACTATTTTAATAATTTATGTTTATTTTTTAAAGCCTTGCATGAATTGCAGTGTTGCTGCGTTGATAAGGATTCATGGTTCCCAGTTAAAAAAAAAA